ACACACACACACTCTCACACACACTCACACAAAAACAAACAGCAACAACAACATCAACAACAACAACAACAACAAAAAAAAAAAAAAGGGGGGGGGGGGGGGAGAGGAAGAAAGATTTTTATTATCTTCTAGTTCCATTTTTCCATGAACTTTTTGAAGTACCTTCATACATATGTAACATCGGTCAACAATCATCAACATTTTGCCACTTCAAGTGAAATGTAAGAACCATACCACCATTTAGGTACCTTTACCTGCTCTGCTTTATAGTTTCCTGAATATTTTCTTTACATATGTTAAGAACCATGTCAGATGATGTAATTTTGCTTTCAGCCATCTAACATAATTTTAAAAACTCAGTCTATTATACTTACCCAGATGTTTATTCATTTTGTTGTTCTTTATTCCTGATGTTCCAGGTTTTCTTTTGTTATCATTTCCTTTGCTTGAAAAACTTCCTTTAACAATTCTTTTTTTAATACTTTATTTTTAATAGCAGTTTTAGGTTTATAGAAAAATTAAGCAGAAAGTAGAGTTCCCATATACCTTCAGCTCCTCTCCCCAGTTTTCCCTATTATTAACATCTTGCATTATAAAGTATATTTGTTACAAGTGATGAGTCAATATTGATACTTTATTATTAACTAAAGTCCATAGGTTATATTCGGGTTTACTATTTGTGTTGCATATTTTGACATATGTATAATGGCATGTATCCACCATTACCATATTATACAAAATACTTTCACTGTCCTAAAAATATACCCTATGCTCCACATTTACTATTTGTGTTGCATATTTTGACATATGTATAATGGCATGTATCCACCATTACCATATCATACAAAATACTTTCACTGTCCTAAAAATATACCCTATGCTCCACATATTCTTCTTTCTCCTGGAACCCTTGGCAACCACCGTCTGTATAGTTTGCCTTTTCCAGAATGTCATATAGTTGGAGTCATAAAGTGTGTAGCCTTTTTAAATTGGCTTGAGTTAAGCAATATGCATTTAAGCTTTCTCCATGCTTTTCATGGTTTGATAGTTCTTTTCTTTTATTGCTGATTAATATCCCATTTTATGGATGTAAGTTTATCCATTCACTTACTGAGAACATCTTGGTTGCTTCCAAGTTTTGGCAATTATGAATAAAGCTGCTGTAAATATTTAAGTGCAGCTTTTTTGTGTAGGAATATTTTCAGCTCATTTGGATGAATAACAAGGAATGTGATTGTTGGATTATATGATAGGAGTATTAACTTTTGTAAGAAACTGCAAACTGTCTTCCTAAGTGGCTTTTGCATTCCCACCAGCAATAAGCGTTCCTGTTGCTTCACATCCTCATCAATATTTGGTATTGTCAGGGTCTTAAATTTTAGCTATTCCAATGTGTGTAATGGGATCTCATTGTTTTAACTTGCAATCCCCTGACATATGGTGTTGAGTATCTTTTTGTATGCTAATTTTCCACCTGTATATCTTGCTAAGTTGTGCAGTTCTTTGCCCATTTTAAAAATTGAGTTGTTTTCTAATTGTGGACTTTTAAGAGTTCTTTATTTTGGATGCCAATCAATTATGTGTTTTGCAAAGATTTCCTCCTCTGCAGTTTGGCTTTTCATTCTCTTAAGAGTGTCTTTCACAGAACTGAGGTTTTTAATGTTAAAAAAGTTCAACATCAATATTTTCTTTCATGGATTGTGCTTTTGGTGTGGTTTCTAAAAAGTAATCCCCAAGTCCAAGGTCACCTAGATTTTCTCCTATTATCTTCTAGGAATTCTATACTTCTGCATTTTACATTTAGGTCTAAGTCTCCAAATAAATGAATGTTTTTATTTTTGTTATTTCTGTCCTAATTATGTTGCAACCAAAGAACTCACTCTATATAACTTCAGTCCTTTAAAATTTGTTGGAACTTGCCTTATGGCCCAGGAAATAGTCAAATGTTGTAAATATTTTACATATTATATGAAAGAAGGTATATAAAAGAATGTACATGCTGAAATTGTTGCAGTGTCCTATATATGCCCATTATGTTAAACTATTTTCATTAAAATTTTGTACACTTTTACTGATTTGTATCTAATTTTCCTATCAAATATTGAGAGATATGTTGAAGTCTCATGTTATGATTTATTTTTCTTATATTTCTGCCAACTTTGGCTTCACATATTTTGAGACAATATCTTGGGAGAATATATACTTAGAACTATTACATCTTCCTGATTAAATGAAATACTCATCCTATGTAAGCTGTCTCTTTATTCCTGGTCACACCTTTTATCTTAAAGACCATTTTATCCAATTTTATTTAGTGTTGATATAGCTCCATGTAGTGAATGCTGTGATGTTCTGCCCTGATCCGCTTCAAGACTGAAGGACTTATTCCCTTAGGATGCTGGGAGTGCTACCAGACGTTAACCTTTACCATTCAGCCTCTGTAGGAACTGTCCTCAGCTGAAGGGTGCCACCTCACCCAAGGTCACTCCTCTTCCTGGGGACAGCCTGCATCCCTTGACTGGTCAGAGCAGGGATATAAAGGCCCAGTCCCCTTGCCAATGCTCCTTTCTCTCTCCCTTGTCCCCTGGGACCCTAGTTAAATCCTTACATTCTCCATGTCTCTTCTCTCCATGCTTCCTTGTGGGTAGTTTCTTCTAGCCTCTCTTCCCATTCCCCGATATCTCCTTTAACTCTATCTAATCTGCTGTTAAATCCAGTTCCATAATTTCTAGTTAGTTTTGTTTTCTCTCTCTGTTATGTCACTTTCTGTAGTTTGCTACCACACCACCATAGTTCTGGATTGTGTTTTAAAGTTTGGCTTTATCTCCATAAACATAGCAATTATAATTATTTGACTGCCTGTATCTGTTAGTATCCAGAGCCCCTGAGAGTGTTTGTTTTTCCCATATCACAATGCTATGTCTCAGTGTTTGCTGAATCTTTATTTTTTTTTCAAATTCCATTCACCTATTTATTTATTCCGAAGGTTGAACTTCTGAAGATACTCCCCCACATTTAATGAACAATGTTAAGTACAAAGTACTAAGGTTCCATTAGTTGCTGTACTGATAAAACAAAACAAAACAAAAAACGAAAAAATGATTTATTGTTAAAACACATTAGTATATTGATTCATATCAAATGCTAAGCATAGTATTAATGCAAAACCTTCCATGAGCACTAGCTCCACACCCTGAGAACAGGGGGCATCTACTACTATTAACTAACTAATACTCTAGACTTTTATCAGATCACCCGATTCCCCATGAGAATGCAAATGAAGAGTACCACCAGAGACTGTCCACAAAAATCTAATCATCCCCAGATAGACATAATTTACATGAAAGGCTACCAGCAACACAAATAGGATGACCAAAGGGTCATGAATTAAAACAGAAGCTAAAGAATCAGTGGGCTTTCTTTGTGTGCTGAATCTTTAATTTGATCATTTGCTTTTAGAAATAATTGAGAACTGAGATGATGCTGGTTTTCTCCAGAGAGGTTTTGTTTCCTTCTTCCAAGACTTTAATATATACTAAAAGTCCAGAGAGCAAAACTTTAGGTCTTTCAGGTTCATACTCCCCCTCCAGAGTAAGCTCCCCGAGGACCCAATCCACAACATGGTTACGGCAGGCACTAAATGCTGACCTGCATTGTTTAGCGCTGAAAGCTCACCATGTAGCTCTGCCTGTCTGCTGAGGGAAAATGTAGCAGCAATTTGGGATAGGGGATAAAGCAGAGGGTGGTGGTGATCCTGCTACTGCCAGAGATGGCACTCCCCAGCCTTTTCCTCTGCCATCACTAGCTTGAGTAAAACTCCAGCAAAGATGCCTTTGATTGGTTATCCTAAGATAGATGTATCTGATTGGTGTTTCATACCACGTGGTTTTATCTTAGCTGCAAGGGATGATGGGAAACTAATCTAGCATTTTAAGGTTTTATAGAGGGTGTTGGAGGCAGAATTCTAAGATGGTTTCTTCTGATCTCTACCCTCCTGGTGTTACATCTGTGATTATTTTATGTTGCATGGCAAAGGAATTTTGCAGATCTAATTAAGGTCCTGAATCAGTTGATTTTTAGTTAATCATAAGGGAGATGATAAGCCTAACCTAATTACATAAGGTCTTTAAAAACAGAGTTTTCTCTCACTGGTGGCATAAGAGGGTATCAGAAAGATTTCAAGTGTGAGGAAGAGTGAACATGCCATTGCTGCCTTTGGAAGAAGCCATGTCACAGGAATATGCGTGGCCTCGAAGAACGGTGAGCAGCCTCTAGCTGACAGCCAGAAGGGTAACAGGGATCTCAGTTCCACAACCACAAAAAAGTGAATTCTGCCAATAACAAGAATGAGCTTCAAAGAAGACACCAACCTTCAGATGTGAAAGCAGACAAGCAACACTTCGATTTCAGCCTTGTGAAGACTCTAAGCAGAGACCCCAGCCTTCCCATCCTGGACTCCAGAACTGTGCGATAATAAATTGGTTGATGTTTTAAGCTACTAAGTTTGTGGTTGGTTGTTATGCGGCAGAGAAAGCTAATATAGGAGGGGTCATCCTTTGCCTTCCACCAAGATTGACAGGGTGGTGAAATTTCACAAGCACAAAGGTTGGCATACTGGATGGCCAAAATGAATGATAAGATATGCTCCAAGGGACAACGGCTGTAAGAGAGCTGTGCACTATTTAAGATAAGCTATTCAGTCCTGCAGTTCTGTGGCAACTATGAGAAGAAACAGCATGGCCTGTCTCTGAAAAATGCTCCAGTGTCTAGAGCAGCTGATGCCAGCAAATACCAAAGAGGAAAGATGAGTCTTCTGCAATGTTAAATGTACATAACTTTACAGTAGGATATGGTCAAAAATCCAGGAAACCACATACTTAACGGAAAACGATCTAGAGGAAATTAAATCACACCAGCACAAAAGGATAAATATATACAAAATCTTTATAAATTCACATATTTTGTCAAAAGTGTACAAGCAGTCTCGATCTATTGGGACAAAAATGAACAGTTTTGTCCATGAATGAAGTCACTATACAATTCAGGGATGGTATTCACAGAAACTGAGTTAGGCGTAAAAAAAATACTGTGTCATGTTAAAAACAACAATTTATGTTTGAAACTAAACATTGTAATTGTGTTAAATACCTGCCATATAACAGCATTTAATCTAATAACAGTACTAATCTGCTTGCTAAATAAGGCTTTGACTTATAAGATGCACATATTTTCAACTGTTTAACATTTCTACTTATAAATTAATTCACAGGATCCATATAGTTGCTTTTTAGCTTCAACTGGGTATTAGCAAAAATAATACAAAATGATCCCCTTGCAAGCAACAAATTTACCTTCCTAAATAAAACGTGACATTGGGTTAAATTATACAACTTGTTAACCTCCCCCGTATAAAGTCTGTGACATTATTAAAGAGGGGACGTCTCTTGCTGTGGTCCTCTGCCTGCTATTACTTCACTGACACACTTTCTCAGACTTCCAGGAACTCAGTGCCTGGAATGTCTTTTTACAACCAGATCATCAGCACCACACTCTCCCTTAAGATGACTGGTAAGGGGATCTTAACCCTTGACTTGGTGTTGTCAGCACCACGCTCTCCCAAATGAGCCATGGGCCGGCCAGATCATATGTACAGGTAAAAGAAAGCAATCCAAGGCTGAGAAGCCCCTCAGGGGCCACACTGGCTCACTGCTGAGGCAGCAGGTGCAGGGCGTGTGAGCCAAGCACACTTACCTCCACACTGGGCTTCTGTAACCTTATTCACAATTTGGGTAACTGGTTAGCAGATGGTAGCTGGGACATGTCACATATAGATCTGAGTCCTCCAATAATGTACACTGTGTCAGGTTTTATCCCTTTGTCGAAGAGAATAGAGAGGGAACATAGCTGCCAGTAAAAATCATTTCTCTCCTCTCAGTCTTCCAAACCCTCATTACCTTTTTATGAAACCTCCCGTTAAAATGACTTTTCTCTCTTCTTGCACTATTGGAAGAAATAAAGTTCTGCAGTAATCTGCAGCTAAGAGAGACTCCAAACCCAGCAAGCAAAGCCTTTAGTGCAAATAGAATGAATTCCCATTAAGGTCAAAATGTTTCAATTGGGTACCATGCTTGCTTCTTGATACCTTTTAAGGCCTAATTTTCCCTTCCTCAAAATTATGAAAGTATATTCCAGCCAATTTCCTATTTGGAAACTGGAATAGGAACAGTCAAAAGCCATGCATTATTGAAGGCATAGCAGCCTCACGTCAGCTTTTTATCAGCTCATTTGGAAATATTTTTAAAAAGTAGGACCCCTGTTCTATGTTCAGGATTTTTTTCACACATGTGAACCATCTAAATTCTATATTATTTAAAGTAGCTAGGTTTATTAGGCTATACTTATCTAAGACTAATATTGGGTGAGATGGATTTTAAAAATCCTTAAAGTCCGCCCCCTTACTCTCCTTCTTATGAGGAAAAAGGTGGCAACAATTCAAGAGTCAATTTCTCTTTGCTGAGAAGAGGTTGAGAAAAACATAACAGCTCACCTTCTGAATTCTACCAATTCTTTTTGAAATGAACACAGCATTAGAATCGATGTTAAAAATAAGAGGCAGGGAAAATACATACAAAATCAAGCATTCCTTAAAGACACAAAATCTTGCTAATACTGGGAGAACCGTATTAAGGAGATGTTTAAGGAGGAATAGTAACATTCTTAGTGAAGTGAGAATAGAGAAAACCAGAAAACAGCAGCTTATATACATGTTTTTATGCCGGAACATGGTGACACTAGAAGGAGCCGAGATAGCCTGATCCCTGAAGTGAACTGCTCAGCTAGTCTGGACCTAAAGAAGCTTGCAAGGGGATGGTTATGTAAAAACTGAGCTTTGTGAGTGAACCGTATCCAGTAGCTGTTCTCCTGAGAAAGCAGAACAACCTGGCAAGCTTAAAGGCAAGTGTTTTTATTCCTTTAATTAAATAGGCTGTGATAAAATTAACAATACAACCAGTCCAGAATCAGCCAGCCCACTATTATGCAGTGCAAATCTTGCAGTAACAAAAGGCCATCTGAGAGGTTACACGTTGGTCTCCAGTCCCAGCAAACGTCCCATTCTCTCCACATTCTTATCAATTGTAGCTTGACACGTTATCTCCTTGGCACACTCCATAGGAAACCAGCCCCTTTCTCCGTCGCGGAGTCGTTCCCCCTCATACCAGCCTGCAAGCAAGAACAGAGTCAAGCAGCAGGTATTTGGCAGAATCTTGACTGTGCCAGGCTCCGAGGAGGATGTGAGAACAGTTCAGAGGCCGCATCCCTGCCAGGCTGGGCACAATGATGAATGTTGGAAAAGAGAGGAGGGACAGAGGGAAGGCTTCAAGGGGGAAAGAAGGACTTACCAGGGACAGAACATGAGCAGAGGCCCCCCAGTGAGAAAGCTAAGAGCTATGGGCGTGGGCTGAGCCAGGGAAGGGGATGCTTTGTGTAGGAGTAGCAGGAAAAAAGAATTTGAAAATAAGAAAGAAATTTTGGAGATGAGAACTAGGTCCCTGGGGGACTGGGAAGGAAAGAAAACTTTTCATGGATCCTTTTGAATAACACACCATGTGACTGCATCCCTATTCAAAAACGAATTAAAAGTGTAGATAAATGAGGCAGGTGCATATAGGAAAACTGAAGGGAAGGTGCATAGAAAGAAGAGGCTGTCAGCGTAAAACTTTTCCAATGTCTCGAAGTCCCTAAAGCACCACTCTAAGTCATCTTTGGGGCTCTGAGAAGCCATTGATTTAGGAAGTGAAGTCTAGAGAAAGAAGAAAAGGAACAGGAACAGAGAAGAATCAAAATTAGCCTTAGAGACAGATAAGAAGGCAGTACGTGAGTGCACTGGGATACGGAATATGAGCATTAAGAGTCCTCATCTCTGGCTCCCTGAATGCTGCACCACGAATGCGCAGAAAGAACACTCCCAACTCACCGTCACTAACACGCTGATAGATGAGGACCACATCTGCCACCTGCAGGGAGAGCTCATCCGGCTGCTTGGCAGTAAACGACCTGACGATTTCCACCTGAGTCAGAGCTGCGGGGGAATGGGGACATACTGAGCTTCCAGGAGCAGAGGAAAATCAGAACACATACCCAGACCAAGAGTGTACATTTACTCAGTCTTTCTGTGCAACTCAGGACTGGCATTGAGGGAGACAAACTGGGCTTCTATCAAGAAGCAAAAAGTCTTTTCTTAAGAACTCTCTCACAGCTATGACCTTTAGAATTGTAGAAGCTCAGATTCGAGAGGTCTCTGATGATGCACAAATCTGCTCAATAATAGCCTTGATCAGGAGTCATTAGTCATGTCACATAATGGAGCAGAAAACAGCCATTGTGCATTGGGGAAACTGAGGCAAGAAAAAGTTGGTGGTGTGCCGAAGCCATACAACTGATGATAAAATCTGCAGTGTTGCCGGTTCTCCTGGCTCTCATCCACAGCACTTCCTCATCCCACCAGTAGGAGCATATGAAAATTGCCAAAAGGAGTTTAGAAATAAAAGGAGCTCCAACCAAAAGCTTAGAAGACATTTTAGAGTTCCTTCAAAATGCTGATGTGCAACATAAAACTACTTCAGTGTCTTCATACTGATTGACGTGACTCGTTAGTTAATTTATTTTTTAATATAAAACTTGATTCTAAAAGCTTTCAAACCAATCACTTGGGCTTTGACCGTAAGCTTAAAGCTATGATTTTTGAGAGCTTCAGGATAATCAGTTTTGCTGTCCTAATTCTTTGGATTTGACCTTTTAACCACAATCATCCAAAAAAGCATGACATCAAAGTTAAGGAGCTAATAAGCACACAATACCACCCTGTACTGCACCAGGTCCTAGTTCTCTAGAAGAATGAAAAACATTTTCTTAAAAGGTCAAAAGGAATGGCTAAGTAATCTTATTTTAGGTTAAAAATGCTTTTCAGATTAAATTCAGATTGTCAGTATAAAGAAGGCTTAAACTTGCAGCTATTGCCCAAAAATAACAGTAAAAATTTAAGAGCTTTATAGTATAAGCCTGTCTTTCATCGTATATTATTTAACTTAATCCTCTAATAACCCCGTGTCGTATATAATGATGCACCTGACGTACAGATGATTAGACAGGCTTGGGAAGGCTAAGCAATAATTTGCCACTTTACACAGCAAAGAACTGCACCTTGGATTTGAATTCAGACACGCTGACTTCCAAAGCAGGGATCAGCCAGTTCTGGCATAAGGCAGAAGGAAAGAAACCTCGGAAGAAATTTACAAATCGAGTACTGTGGTGGTATAAGCCATTGACAACCCCGAGTCCAGCAGGGGGCAGAGCCCCTCCACGTTTCGGAGCAGGTTGCCCCTTGAGAGAACTTACAGGTTCTGTCGGGAGGCTGCTTCCCGCTGCTGTGTCCCAGGGCGGTTATCCAGCGGGCACGCTCACTCCTAAACACAGAGAGCAGATCCAGCTGAGACACACAGAACAGAGAATGTTCTAGACAGACAGTGCAAAGCCATTCCCAGAAAACGGGAGAGATCCTCCAGAGAGGTACAGGGCTGGCCTTCAAAACAAGGGTCAGAGTTATTTTAAATGATCATCTGGGAAATCTAAAATAGGCAGAAAACTAGTCATCATTGTCAAAAGACTCATAATGAACTTGGCTAGGTACCGATTAAATGGAATTTCTCATATGACAGTTTACAATTAAATGAAGAGCTGATTACTCTAACCCATAATCACAAAAATATTTATTTAGCACACTCCCAGTCTGACGTTTAACATTTCAAAAAGGTAAATTTCTTATTTATTTTTCTTTCTCTGCTGTTCTAAGGTAGGTAAATTTCATTTTTTAAAAATCCTAGTAAAACACTCTCTACTCCGTCTCCTCCCTTCCCACACATGCAAACCATTTCAGAAGAAGATGAAAAACTTGACATGTTTAAAAGTTGTCTCATCCCTATCCCTCATACAACTAATTTTGCCAGATATGAGCCTGATTAAAATAGAAAATCTTTGACCTTTTTTAGACTGTTATCAAATGCTTAAAATGGTTTAATGAGTACAGCAAAAAAAAAAAAACGGGAGAGGGGGGTAGATAACCAAGACTTTTTATATAATATTAAGCTATAATTACATGAAACAAAATAATTACTTAACTAAAGAATTGAAAGTTTCAGATAAGTAAGCACTGCTCCATAATACAGTCACCCTCTCCCCCGTTTTTTATTTTGAAAATCAAGATTAGGATTGCAACTAATTGAATAAACCACACACACACACTCTTACATCTCTTAAGAGGAACTTGTTTTTTTTTTTTTTTTTTTTTTTTTTTTTTTTTTTTTTTTTTTCCGTGTCCGGCAACGGATCGCAACCC